CTCTAGGAACCTCTCTGTGAGAGAACGCAGAACATTCAAGAATCAGATTCTTGAATGTTCTGGATTCTCTCACAGAGAGGTTCCTAGAGGCTCCTAACAGGAGTCGTACAGAGAAATAGGTCTGGGGAAGGGAGGCTTGTGGGGGGGTTTTAATAGCCGCAGAGGAGGAGGAGGGTGGGTCGACCCCCCCAACCAAGCCCCAAAATTGAATGCTCTCCTAGCAGGATTAGAATAGAGTATAATAGAGTAGAATAGAGTCGCACAGAGAAACAGGTCTGGGGGAGGGAGGCTTGTGGGGGAGTTTTAATAGCCGCAGAGGAGGAGGAGGGTGGGTCGACCCCCCAACCAAGCCCTAAAACCTTTCGTCCTCTCGAATTTCCCTTCTTGGATAGAGCATGGAGCCATTACTACATGATGGCAGGTGGCCGACATCCTGGAGACCGTGCGACTACCATGGCGTTGCTTCTGGGAGGGTCTCCTAACTTACGCCAGCGACCTGCGCCAGGATTCTCTCTTGACGCAGTTGTGCCTGGGTCTCCACATGTCTGCGTAAGATTTAGAGTCTAGAGCTTTCATGTGCTATCATGTGCTGCATGCTCTCAGATATCATCCCCTATCAGCTATGCGAGCCGTCCAAGGCAGCAGTTGGCGCCGGACTTGCGTAGATGCTTATATGACAGCTTGCCGGGGCCAGCCAGATTTGAATTTGCGGAGTTGGCTCTCATGGAATTTGCTGCGGTCATGAGCTACACGTTGGCTGGTGAGACTCGTCCCTGGATATCGCTTGGTAGAGAAAGTAAGATGCAGTGGATCCCGAAATCTTTAGAAGACCTTTCAGAATCAGCGCCTCAGAAGTGGAAACCATGGCTGTCAAAGTTTGGGTGGGATGACTACACCTCGCCTGGAGGTGTGCGTCACAAGTTGCTTTGTGATCTAGATCCGGCCGTGGCGGATGCCATGTGTCAATGCTGCAGGGCTTTTCCAGATATGTCATGGGTGCATTCCTTCAAAGCTTTGCAAGAGCTTCCTCTTCATGTCGAACCTGCAGTCGGATCCAGTTTGCCTAAGCGTGAGCCCAAGAGAGAAAGAGGGCACACTGTTGAACCCATGACACTCAAAGCTGTCAAGAAGGAGCCCAAAACTTATCCATCCGGCCGCGATGTTGCCAAGCTACTACTCAGGAACATGCCGAACAGCCCCATTCTGAAGAGCATGCTTGACATTGGGCAGGTGCTTCGGGGATGCCTTGCGGTAGCTCGAGCCTTCTTTGGCGATGAGTGGACCCACCATGTGACCATTGTTTCGTGCGGTGATCTCACATCATTCCATGGCCAAGTAGCTGATACCCTCTTTGGCGTACTCTATTCGGATTCCCATTGGGCGCTGCTGTGTGTGCATGAGGGTCAAGGCGTCGTGTTCGACGGCAAGAGAAATCCTGTTTGCTGGAACCAGGCAGCAGCTTTCCTGCATCACTTGAAGGAGGCAGGGTGCAAGGTGTCCGGATCTCAGCAGAAGGCCTCCTGCCCGCAGCAGCCTGACGAGTGGTCGTGCGGGCACAGGGTCATCGCCGCTATGGATCTCATTCTGGATAGTCTGCAGGTTTCTGGTGTTCTGCCAAAGAAGCTAGATGGCAACATGCTGAATGAGGAGAGCGTCCAATCCATCATCGATGCATCTGTCAAGTCATTCGCCAAGCAGCAGGTAGATGCCAGTGGTGCTGCAAAGCGCAAGGCTGAGCAAGTTCCAAAGAAATCACTCATGCCAGCTGCTGCTGGTAGTGAAGATTGCGGGGTGCCTTCTACACCACCGCGCTCAAAGGCCAGAGTGAGTGCTAGCCAAGCCTGCGATGATACGATGACGCCACCCCGTCCAGTGCGACCGGCCCTGGCAACCTCTCCAGCTTCAAATGCTAGTACGCCGAGGGCATTGGTGGCCAAAACCAGTAAGCCAAAGCATGAGAAGCAAAATGGGAAGGCGCAATGCCAGTCGGCGCTCACCAAGGCGGGCAAGATTTCCAAGGGCGAGGCACTGTGCTCGGAAGCACGCGTTGCTCACAAAGACTTTCAGAAGGAGCATCGCAGACAGGATGTACCGGAGCCAAAAGGCCATTGGCGCCTGTTTCTGGAATCGCTTGGAGCTCCTAGTGGCAGCATGCCACTCTCCTGCCAAGCATGTCTCACGATGCAACGCAAGGTTCTTCATGGGCAGCAAGCGCAGCCGGTTGCCTCAGCAATAGTGCCAGCCGCTTCTCAGAGTGTCTTGGGCCCTGAAGTTCGCAGCAGAGGCAGGCCTAAAAAGGATGAGGCCCGAGACGCGCGATGGAGACTGGGTACATACATTAGCCAGCATCGATCCAAGGTTTACCAGCAGTGTTCCAAGTCGTGGAGCAAAGAAGCCAAGTACTATTGCAGGCCATGTGAAAGACACATAAAGTTCAGCAGCCACACCTGCAAACGCAAGGTGGAGAAACACGAAAGGTCCGGCGCCCACTTGCGGGGCCTCAAACGTTTGGGCCTACCCTTGCCAGAGGGCGCCGACAAGGAGCCAGAGAGTGAGGACAGTGATGCTGAATCGGAGGATGCAGAGGGGCAGAGCCTTGCTGCTGTCTGCGGCCTGCAGGTGGTTCCAGTGTCAGAGTACAAGTGACAGTGGCGTACCCATTGATGACCCAACCTTGCCAATGCACCAGCTCCGTGACTCTGTCCTCAACTTCATTCACGCGGGGCAGCCCCGCACGCTGTTCAAAGAAGGCTGGAATGATCCACTGGGAGATGTCATCTTTGCCTGCGACGAGAAGGTTTCTGTGCAGTCCAAGGACTGCAAAGGGCCTTGCCAGAAAGTAGACAAGGCTTGTTCCGCTTGTGTGAAGTTATGCAGAAGGAAAAACTTCCGCGCCTGCATTGCCTCCAAAAGCTATCTCATCGACCTCGCCAGGTATGCCCACAAGCTATTTCACGCTTCTGCCGAGGAAGTGCAGATTTTGGTTGAGGAGATCACATCCAGGGATTACAGGCTTCTGGAATTGGCAGGAAATGACTTTGAGGCCATCTGCGCCATGCCGAGCAAGGTGTCCCAAGTGGCCAAGATCAGAAGCCATTGGGAACACATTCCTGCGTGGCGCTTCAGTGATGCCATGCAAGCGTTCAAGCAGCACTGGCTCCCAAAGACAGATCTCTATCACAGCACAGATATTCAGGCGCAGGCCCATGCAAGCTTAGTGGCATCGCTAGGCCAATCAGTAGCCCAAGGAACGGTCCGGCAACTGGATCTTAGTCTCGCTTCGAAGATAGCAGCCGGAGCACTTCGTTGTGACTCCCTTGTGGACGGCTTGATCACAACGTTTCTCCAGACCTTGGATTCTTCCTTGCGGAACAAACGTCGTCGCGCTTCTGGGCAGTGGATTGACGCTGAGGCTCTCATGGATGCTGCCCACACACTCGGCAGGGGCCCAGAGGCTGCATCCTTACTGTTTAGGTTCCGTGTCAACAGCAAGTTGCTCCCCAAATTGAGCTTCAATTGTTCTGCGCTTCCTGACAGCTTCGTGTCCATTCGAGACAGAGAGATCTTGAAGCAGAGTTACCAGAAGATACAATGCCTCTTGAAGGCCCCCTCAGGCCGCCTTCACTTGGTAGTAGACGAAACTACTTGGAGCCCCAGCTATCAGCAGGCAAGGCAGTTTCGCGATGGCGAGGACCGCATTCTAGGCGGTGCTTGGGACGTGGAGGCGTCCAATGATTGGTCCTGCCTAGCACCCGAAAAACATTCCCTTGCCTCCCTTCCCAAGCAGCACATGGCAAAGACAGCCCTGCACGTGGTTGCGCACCGCGTGGACTGCACCCGCTTTGTGTTTGAGCTTTGCTGCCTGCCCACTAGGACCGTGCTGGGCACTTCAGACGTCATGTTCACTCTTCTTTCCCAAGTGTTGGACGCGGCCACTGAGGTCTCTGATGGCCGGGCACCATCCGGCATTGCCTTTGATGGAGCCACGGTCAACAGCAAGCTGCTCAGGTTCTTTGTTGGCCTCTTGCCGGCCGAAGAATGGGAGTCACTTCCATTCTTCCAGCATTGCCGGATCAACTACCCGAAATTCAAATACTGGCCATTCGGGCATGTGTTGCACAAGGATGACCTGATGGTTTCATTTCACGGGGCATGGCACCTCCAGAAAAGATATAGTCTGCAGTTCATGAGCTCCGCACGAAAGGTTCGGTTTGCCGACTTGTTCACTGACCTGTCTTCGATGCTCCATGAGAAGCTACCTGTGCGTGCCTATATGTGCACGGATGTACAGTCCGATAAACAAGCCATCATGAGATTGTCAGTGCCCTTCTTGACAAGATCTTGGAGTGGGCTAGGGCAGATTGCATATGCCTTGGTGGCCGCACTTCTGGCGTCCGGAACCACTGCTTCGCCTGGATTTTCGAAGAGGGAAACAGCTGCCAACGCATTCTCAGCTTTTTATCTCCTGTTACTCCACGTGGTATACAATGACCAGAGCAAGAGGGATGGGACAGAGTCAATCCACATCACAACGCTGAGGAACGCCACAGCACTTGCCTCTTGCATCATCACAGCTTGCATGACAAGCGTCGAGCACAGACACATCCAAGAGAAGACCGTGGAGGAACACTTCAGCCGAATAAAGTCGGCTTACCGGGGTCACCCCTCTGTGCGAGATGGCCAGTTTGGTGTGCTGTGCACACATGCGAAGCAAGCAAAGCGGCTAGAACGAGAGACCCCGGAAACTTTGGGATCGAGCTCTTCGTGTCAAAGTCGAGAAGCCCTCACGCACGAGGACTTGGTGAAGATTGCGCAGACAGCCCTGGCAACCAGTGTTCAGTTCTTCTGCATGCTTTGCGCTGAGGAGACGGGAGATGAATTGGTGTGGAAGCTCATCAAGTGGTGGAAGGAGCGTGGTGATTCCTTCTTCAGAAAGATCGTTCCGCCTGAGGATGAGGAAGATGCCCTGAAGGAAGCTGAGAATGATGTGCACGAGGATCTAGATCAGGATGAGGCGCCCCAAGTGCAGGCACAGAACTTCAACTTGTTGAAAACGGTCCAGGATCGTGCTATGGTGTGGGAAGAGCTCTGTGATCTTCTCCAAGATGGCGGTGACGGCAAGAAATCTGGTCCAGCTGAGCGCCAGGAAGAGGAGGTTGAGGCCAAGCTGAGCGCACATGAGGCAGCTGACCTCATTCCGTTGGAGGGTGAGATGGGCGAGGTGCCCAAAACGTTGCATCAAGTTGTCCAGAAGGCCATCAAGAAGCCTGAGTACAGCAAGTACGCGGTGGGGGAAAGCGCTGGTGAGTACTCCTGCCTCAAACGGGCGCACCTGTTGCTCGGCCCTGCGAGGCAGCTGATCAGGTTGGTGCGCTTGGAGGAGGGGGTGTTGTCCGTGCTATCCTAGAAAACCGCAGGACAGAACTCAACAGTTGGAATTTGCGAGAGGCGGAATTGGCTGCAGCACGGAGAGCAGCTAACGTGTGTGGGCAGAGGTTGGCGCGCGCCAGTGCTTGGGCAGCGGCTACGGCTAAGCTGACCGATCGCATCACTGCAAAGCGTGGCGATGGGCAAGGTGGACTTTCGGTGGTGGAGGAGTTCCGGCCACTGGATGATGCGGCGCCCCAGGTCTTGGTCTTCAAGCGTGACGCGGACACAAAGCCCGGCATGGCTGTCACGCTCACGGTCTACAGGGGATGCATCTCCAAGCGAAATGGCAAAGAAGTGGTGAGGACTTGATTTGGGCATTTTTGGGCATATTTGGGCTAAGGGATATCTTAGGGCCGAGCACTCCGTATTGTATCATTTTGTTATGGCTCCGGAGGGTTCTATAATATTCTATCTATAATATTATATAATATTCTATTTAGGACCAGCAAGTCATCAGCTACTCCGCTTCCAGCCTCGTCCACTCGGAGAGTTCATGCCGTCGTCCTTGAAAAGCTTGATGGATCCTGGGCATGTTCGTGTGCTTCGCCGGTCGTCATGCTTGACCCAGTCAACAACATTTTTGGGCAGCTTCAGGTAGAGGCTCAGGCTACGCAAACTCGATTGCACATCAGACCTTCCAGTGCAAGCATGGATGATCTCCAGCGTTTGGGTGATGCAGAACTTCCCTACATCAATCTGGATATCCCTGAGGCTGACACGAAAGCTTCTGCTGCGCATGGCTCGGTGCCTGAGACTTTGCAGTTCACAGACCGCAGCTTCGGGCGAGCAACACTCGTGGCAGAGTGCAAGAACTTTATGACCTGACTCAAGGAGATTTATGACAGCCGGGATTTGAGTTTCGTTCAGGATGGCTATGTCATGCTGCCCGGGAAAAAGAAGGAATCGTGGGATGGCCTGGTCCAGCGTGTGCCGGGCTTCTTCCTGGACCGGATGAAGTCCACCAAGGGCTACATGTTCTCAAAGGGTGTGTACACGCGGCTCATGGAACTCATGCCAACGAAAGGCCACCAAGATCTGCAATAGAGTTCCCATAGTTCCCATGATCTCCCCAAATATGCCCGAAGCATCTCAAAGCAATCCCATACCCAAAAATCTCAACATCTATCCCAGGTGAAACATCGCGGAAGAACTTGCTGGGTTTCCTGAAGGATGTGGCGCAAGTTACGCCACCTGTGGTGATCATGAGTAGGGCTTCTTGAGCGGCGTATGGTGCCATGATGCGCCATGATATCATATGACCATGTGGTAGCTGCAGCGTTCCACTTAAAGAATCTTAAAGGTATTTAGAAGAAACATGCCACCATGTGCCGTCAAAAGGCCGCACTCCGATTCAGAGTAGTGTTGGATTTTGACCAAAGTTTCCGAAGCCAGTAAGGGGACTGGCTCCACGTACCTGCGCGGAGGGCAATGGGCTTGGATGTTTGATGATTTTTGTTCCTACATGTTGGCACTGAATCCCTCTAAGAGGTTAGCCCGCAAAATCATGAAACATTCATTCCCCATTCCCTGACGCTGCGCCGAGCACAGATCATACAGCGCTGTATGCAAGAAAAGAGATGTCCTTCATGGTTAACATGTCACAAGCAATCGCAGGACGCATGCACGGGAGGGTAGTCAGACACCCCCATGGTTCTGAAGCCTCAAGAAATAGGACCCAGTCCTATTTCCAGACCCCCACCCCTACTGGGGGTACTCCCCCCCCACTTAGGGGTGGGAATCTTAGTCCTTGTGTTCGTCTACGTGATGGTGGGGTGCAGATATACCTGAAAGACATTTCACCTCACAGGATCTTCGATCTTTTATCAGCTTAGCTGAGCACTTGAAGTTGCTGGACCTGCAGTGACCATGGTGCTCCGCAACTCGGCCATGCCACCTGCATTGTTCTCCGGGGCCCAGGTGTATCTACGAGCCTTTAGACCGTGTCCGAGATATCTCATGGTATAGTATGTTATGATGCTGCGCCTCATGGCCTTCAGTTCTGGGACCACAGCTTACAGAAAGCCACTTGCCATGCACATGGGCCCCTGCCATAGCTCATCCTTTCAACTAGGCTCTCTTGAAGAATCGTTTTTCCTACCCTGAAGCAGGCATTCGCAATTCAGGCCTCTTATCTTCGGCTGTGGTTGTTGTAGCCTTAAGGTGTCTGACCCTTTCATGGGCAGTCTCAAAATCTTCTGCCGTTTCACGCCAACATGCTGGCATCCGTGCTACGAAATCCTAAGTCCTAAGCCTGAAACCAAGAGAGACATCCAGGTCTTGATCGGCTGGAGATTCAATGGTGTTGGCCAGGGCAATGACGAGTCCTGTCCGCACAGCATGATTCATTCAAACCAGTCGTGAATAGGAGGCTGTGAAGCGTTAACTCGAAACCCTCAAACCCGAACCCTTGCCTTATTAACCAAGCCCCAAGCCCTAAAACCTAACTGATCAAAAAAGCGGTGCCCTACATCCACAAGCGTATCATCCTGAATGCTGACTTCCTGTCGGAGGGTGGGGGTATGGTTTGCCAATATCATGGGTCCTTATTTTTGGACCTTTATGGCGGGAATTGCGTCATTCATTTGGGAGGATGACGATTTGATGTTTCGGAATTTGGGTTTCTGGATTCTGCTGCTGAAAGGCTTACGGTGCATGGATTGCTCAAAATCAGGAGGCCCTCGAATGTATGCATCATGAGGAGGAACCCCCCAAAAGCACTCTAAAGCCACATCGTGCCCAAAGCCATACAAAGCCGTAATCCAATCGTATGCCCAGATAAAACGCTTCAGCCTAAACCCGACAGCCAACAGTTCGCGGACCAAAACAGCGTGAGGAAACGGTGCCGGAAGGCTTCGTACGCATCCGCTACGCAGCCCATGCCTCTGGGAATCTTCATTCAGGTTCGAGATTCCTCAACGATGGCCTCTATTGTCTCTAACGATGGCGGGGTCTATGAAACTTAGAGCCCAAAATTCGTTTGAACTCCTTGGTTTCTTATGGGTTTAGGGCCTACGGTCTCTAGTCAGTCCGAGACTCAGAATAGCAACCTAAGCCCTCAAGACCATACCGTCCAGTGCACACCAGAAAGTTGAACTGTACTGGCTTTCTTCAGGCCGAATTGGAGGGAAGTTAGGCGAAGCATGTGAGGCCCAAAGTTTGGTCAGGGCTGAGGTGACCGTAGGGTTTTTGCCTGGGAGCCTGGATGCCACTTGATGTGGGGCGGTCCTTCTAAAACCCAACAAAAGGCTTGCCTTCTGGCTCCTGGAGCCAGGGTCTCATTTGAGTTATACCAAAACCCTAATGACAATAGGGCCGCTAACATGCTTTGTGATTTCATTGTTTTGGGGATACAGATTTGAACGCTCGCAATACATCCACACGACGTCTAAAAGCCAGAGTCGTCTGAAGCTCCGGACGACCTTTAATCTTGATCCTTCTTGAATATCCATACAATCCTAGGACATGCGCCAGAATCCCTGCCTGAATGTGGCTGCCCGACACGTCAGCTTCGTCCCAAAGGAGGACGCAAGCTTTGGCGGTGATTAGGACCTTCGTGGTATCGTTTAGGAGCAGAGGTAGGGACTTAGAGATGACTTCAAGACTCAATACAACGGAAGCCTTCATGTGTGTGTTGGATTCCTACATTCTCGGAAAACGTGCACCGCAGGAATCCACGGCAAATAGCGCATCCTTGATTGAAGGGACACCCAGAAAGCGGTCATCATTTTCAGCGCGGTCAGTTCACTTCAACTTCGGAAGGCTACAATTCCCTGGTTTATTTAAGGGGCATCTTTGATCATAACTGAGACTGGGCTTGCTGCTGGAGCGCATGTGTCGCCTCATCAGGTCCTGAATACACACCTGAAAATTCCCAACTTGGGCAGGGTTGAGTGTTCGAGGTTGATTTAAAGTTCAGTTGAAGGTTAGCCGCTTTGAGGCAGAGTGGTAAGGTCAGCGTCTTCGCGAGTGTTGTTGGCCTTTGACCTTAAACAGAAACTCCAGCTTCCCAAAATCAAGACTGCAATCTCTAACGACCTCCAAAATCTCTTGCAATCTTCAAAATTATCTCCTTTGGGTCCGTCAGGGTGCCCTAGTACTGGGAGAAATGACAAAAAGCTTCAGTGAAAAGGACGTTGTCCTCAAGGAGCAGCGCATTGGCGTACGGGTGCGGCGAGGGCCCGTCACTCGTCGACTCGGGGTTTAGGATTGGATTCAGGGGCATTGTCGGGTTTGGTATAAGGTGCAGTGTCTAAGGTTTGGGGTCGGGTTCGAGATTCAGACCGAAGGTGCCAGTCCCTCCCCTAACAATCACGGCCCTTTGCCCCCATTCCCGTTACTCTATTGTACAGGGATGTTTGCAGGATATGTTTTTATCAAGAAACGTACGAGTTTGCAGGTGCTCCAGCGTTCTGCTTTTTTTGTTCGGATCGTACCGCCCTGACGAACTCATTATCCTGAATCCGGTTTCGGCGTTTGTCAACTGGCTGGCCCCTTGCAGGGGTCCCTACGACAAGCACTCTCTAGACCTTAAAATAGGTATATCAAACGACCTTCTGCTTGGAAAAGCAACCTATAGACTCTAAACCCCCCAACCGCGTGGCTGTGGTGGGTTTGGTAGCCACGGAGGGTACTTCTGGTGAGTTTTTGTGCATCCGGACAGACTTTTTGTTACTTCTTGGAGCCCATGTTGCAAATTACCTACAAAGCAGCTTGCATGAAAATGACAAAGCCAAAGGTGGTGTCTGAACCCACTACTAGCGACTCCCCCACAGTGCAGACGTGCAGGATTGGAAGTGGGGCAACCAAGACGGTGGCGCCAGCAATTGGGGCACGACAGTGGTTGACTCCGATCCAGTCGCGTGGCTGCGCTGTGGTTAAAGTGAGGGTGAGGAGTTCAGGGTTTAGGGTTCGGAGTTTGGAGGTTGAAATTTCAGCACAGGGTTCAGTTCAGGCTGGAGAGTTCGGACACTTACCTTTCATGGCCCTGTTGGGCTTGTTTTTTGGGGGCTGGCTAGAATTTCATGCAAGGTTTACAAACCTACGGGCCTTGCTATTCTAGTTGTCACGCAAGCTTTTGTTCTCAGTGCGTTCTCGGCGTGACTTTTCCCTATCCACTTTCGTGCCTTCATCCTCTGGGAGCTCACGTGCCGAAAGAAGACCCCTTACTTGCGCGTGTGCACAACCTTAGGCCTTGGGCCTTAGCCTTGATAACCCGAAAAACCCACTGCAAATATTAAGCACCAAAACCGAAGCCATTTGCAAGCCCTACGCCTCCAACTACAGGAAGCCGCCGGGTTTATTGAAGAAACATAAACCCTCCGTGGTTGAAAGCTCAGGACATGCCGCTTAGATGGATCAAAGTTCAATGGGACCACGGAGAGAGGCTCAGCTCTCGAGGTCAGCGTTTTTTCTTTTAAAGGCTTCTTGATTGTAAACAAGCCCCGCCCACGGTTGGTATTGCACCTTTACGAAGAAAGGAAGACTCCCAAATCTTATGCCGCAAGCGAGCAACCCTTTGCCCTAAACCCTTGCCTCTAGATCCTGGGCCCTACACTGCAGGCATTATGTAGCCATGAAGCATTGGATTTGACCCTAAACCTTTGGCCCTGTTCCAAATAGCTGCGACAAGAAAGGAAGAAGTCCTACCGCGTGGGTGCTGAGGGCAAGTGCCGGGGCCTGCAAGCGCAAAATGAGGCCTTGAGAGCCGAGAGCACTTCTGGTTAGGATATGTGTGGCGGGTTCAGCGTTTCCTCGAGTTACGTACAATGAGTCTAAACCTACAGCTACCAACATTCTTGTTGCAGACCTTGATACATCATCTTGGCCTTCTAGACGGAACCGCTGTTTGAGGCATACCATCACACTGCGAAGATTGTTTGTGGATGAGCTGATTCGTAGCCTTTACGAAGCAGCCTGGTATACCCTGATTCTATCAAAGCGAGCGGTCCAAGCCCTGAAGTGCACTCATAAACCCCGCCTAAAGTTCTTGGATAGTCCAAAACCATAAGTTGCTTAAAGCAATCCCAACCCTAACTGTGAACTCTTGCCCTCAAAACCTCTAAAGCCTAAAGCTTTTTACCCCGACCGACCCCCAAGGTACGACCTCATCTTCGCAGTCGAAGATGGCGACGTCGTGGAGCCAGAGCCTGAAGCTTGGCTGAGTGGAAGATCTGCTGTCAGAGCTTCTAAAGGATTTGGGTTGTGGAGGTTTGTGTTTAAGCTGTAAGATTTCGAGTTTTACGTGGTTGGGCCGGGGGATTAGCGTTTAAGGCGCAGGACTCAAGGATTTGGATCTAGAGTACAGATGGGGTCACACGGTCACACTGACGAATTACACGATTTGGGGTTTGGGGTTCACCTTAACCAACGAACTACTGCTTCTCTTCCAATTTACCAAGCTTTTGCCGTCTTTCCTACTCTGCATGGCCAAGGAGGTGGACCAGGGACACGATGAGGAGCAACTGGGCTGCGCATGGGTAGACATGTCTGATATGTCATGATAACTCAAAAGAAGAAGAGCTCAAGACAAACAGTGGAAGTTAAGTGCTATTCAAGGGACCTGGGCTTTACGGTTCAGGGCTTTGGGCTGTAGGTTTGGGGGATTGTGGATTTGGGATTTTGGGCTTTGCGCACTCTCATCCCTCTTAATAGGGACTGCATTGGACGCATTGGGGATTATTTCGGGAACTCTATGAATGATGCATTTCCCCCTTCCCTACGATTGAATCCCCTGAAGTAGAATTCCTCCTATGCTCCCCAAGAAAGCCCAAGAATAATCCACATAATACATTCCCTGGTTCGTCACAAAGCACTAGGGGCGCGGAAGTCTTCCCTTGACGGCGAAGCCGAGGTGGCTGAACCCGGATCATGCCACGGCCTCCCGGCGAAGAGGTGAAAGGTAATGGTCTTCTCTCTAAGATCATGTTCGAGCTGTCTACATGAGGCTGGAGGGGTTATATTATGGAGGTCATGTATTCATCTTGTTTCCGCGTATGGATATTCACCAGGAATGCTGCGATCCTGATCGCCTAAAACTTGGAAGAGATTAACTGGTGCCCACGTAAGGTCCAATCTAGAGTTTAGGAGAAAATCAAGCTTCAGATAACGCAGCACCAAGATTGATTTATGTTATATCCGACATCGGCATGACGGGGTTGTTGTATGGCTCCCTGTTGCGAAGAATGTGAAAGGGAGAAGGCGCCGCAAAACCGCTCGTGTGTATATGTCCTGGTGTCTCACTCTAAGACCCGGGCTGGACCCTGACCCACATTTCATGGATAAGCCGAACTGACAAACCAAAACTGAAAACCAACATTTGCATCCCAAACCTCTGTCTGAACCCTAAGAGATGGCGCATCTCAACCCTCAAAAGCCTACATCCTATTCATCCCCGTATTCTAAGCTGGAAGTGCGGTGCCTTTGCGTGGACAGGATGCCAAAGGTGCCAAAGGTGTGGGCAAGAGGCTCTAGGTTTGCATCATTCCGCTGGTGAGGCTTGTGGGCGGTTTTCGGCGTGGGATTTGGAGCTCGTAGGTTACCGACAGTGTCATCGTGATGCCATTGCCATCATCAACAGGTGCGTTATTGAGCTACTGCGTTCCAGCTCCTGTGTGCAAGCCCTGAAGCCGAACCCAAATCCTTAACTCTACCATGTTCAGTAGCATCCGATTTTCAAGTCTGCACTGCGTGCGCTCTGACCAAGGAATATGAATGCCCTGTCTGCAAATGCGTTTGCAGAGCGGCCGTGTTCCATGAGGCAGGGCAAGTAGCGGGATGCGAAATTAACATCACTAGTCCCCTCCCTCAGCATGAATCACCCTCTCCACATGCTTGTTCAAAGGGCCGGGCAACGGTGCCCGGAGGGATCAGTTTCACCGGGAGTGTCGTGTTGAATTGGGCTCCGGCTCTACCCCCGGCAGCGCAACAACGTCACCACAAGGTGGAGATCTGGACTCCGTCGATGCTCCTTGAAAAGGAGAGTTCTTTGCCACAGAGAGTCCAAGGCGAATGCCCTTCAAGGGAGTAATCCTAATTAGAGGGAAGAACCACCCCACCACTAACCTACTGTCAGTCAAGACGCTGCGCCGAATTCCCAACAGTACGCATGGCGCACGTGCTTTTGCATCCAAATAGGAGTCTCACTGTAGCATGCAGCTGCCATAGCATTTTGGTATCAAACTGGGGCTGATGGCATCTAGAATCAGCTCAACTTTTTGCTCGCATGCTAGTAAATGTCTAGCTATGCTGATCCTTCTTCCAAGGACAGTAGTCTTTGTAGGCTCCTTATCATGTCCAATGCTTGATGCTGCGGAGTGTGAACTAAAATCCCAACACCCCACTTCCCAGCCGGAATAAGCCCAACTAAACCCAATCCAACCCTGAACGCTCGCTCCTTGAACCTTACACGCCCTGCATGAGCCCTCAACTTGAGAAGGCTTCATGTTTGCCTGCAAGTGTGTATCAGGCATGTACAAAGCTTTTCTGCGAGCTTTGCTGGCACAAAGTCTTTGGCCAGAAAGAGGTCGGCTTCAGGGAGTGTAGGCTTTAGGGCTTGGGGCTTTCTATCTCGAGTTTCGAGTTGACAAGCTGGGGTTTAGGAAGTTTAAGGCTTATGGGTTTCAGCTAGGGTTGGTTTGAGGATTCAGGGCCAGCTTTCACTGCCCATTTCAGGGAGGGTTGTGGTTTTGTTGGTTGTCAGAATTCTGGTTCAGGACTGGACTTCACGGGGAACAAAGAACATTCTGGGCCTTTCTGGAAGCACTCCCTGGAAAACTACCTGCTTTTGTGGAAGTGGGGTTTGATTTTAGCCCCTGTCCGGTGGACAATGTGGTGTCCAGTTTGGTTGCGGTAGGGAATTCTGTGGTAGCCAATTCCAGTCCAGTACTCAACCAAAATCCTAGACATGTGGTGCAGCTGGAGCACTCCGCATGACCTGGTTCAGTGCGCATGTTTACGGAATTGGGTTTGTCCTTGTCTCGCGAGATGTGAAGATGTGTAAGTGTTCTGAAGTTTGCCGTGCTATTTGTATACTAGGCTTCATGGGTATCATGCACTTGCTGTCAGTCTAGTCGCGGGTTGTACGATAGCAAAGCCCTGAAACCTCAAACACTAAAATCCTCAGACACTCAAGCCCTGCATGCCTGCATATTGGGGTTATGTACGCTTTCGTTGGGTTCCGGTTTAGAGGTATAGACGCTATGCATCCCTTTACCTGAGCCACTGTCAAACAGGGTTCCTGATTGCAAACGTAGTATACTCCGTCCTACTATCTTGTGCCTCACGCGTATGAGGGAAGTTTTTGCTGTATGTCAGTGCTGGCGTGAGCGGTTCTGTAATGCTGTAAATACGATGTAGGACCACATCAATCTTGTTCTTGAGACCTTACGACTAACCTTACGTTTAGGAATCCCCACAGATTCTTGTGAATTCATGGGATAGATATACATGCCCATGCATCCCTCAAAATGAAGACCTTTGTCTACAATTTTACACCAACGAAAGCCAAGTATAACATAATTTGTCAAAAGCCCTGCGCGCGCAAGCTCCGCGCAAGCACGGCGCAAGGTTGGCGCAGGAGTTCGAAAACGCTCATGGTTTTTTAGTTTTAGTGAGATGAGCCTGCGCGAAAACCATTGTGAGCCAAACTGTGCGCGCGCAAGCTCGCGCAAGCACGGCGCAAGCCCCCAATTCGAGATGAGGGAATACCGGACAACCCCCAAATGTGGAGCCCATTTGAAAAAAAGCACTGCTGCCCCCGCCAGGAGTGCCCTGTTTGCCGACAAGGCGGCGCAATCGAACCTTCGAAGCTTGCCCATTTTGTGATTCAGCATTGAGGGGGGAAGGGTAAAATGGGGCTGAGGGCATAGGATTTTGGGATCTTGGGCTTGGTCTCAGGAGTCTGCAGGGCCACAGGCAAAAGGCACTGGTAGGGCTTCAGATTCAGGGGCTTTGAGGGGTTAGGGCCAGGGAATGCTTTCGTAGGATTCATGGAGAATTTCCTTGAGCGGAAGGAAGCACAACTCCAGATATGCAGGGGCCGCAAGATTGGATGACCCATGATTTTCAGATGTAAGACGCATAACTTTACCATACTTGAGACAGTGTTTTGGGTGTAAGGGAGCCTAGAATCCGGGGATCCTGCCTGGTGTGGCTAAAATGGTTTCGAGCTTCGGTTCGAGGGGATTTAAGGTCTAGCGAAGCCCAAAACTCAAAGCCCAAGATCCCATACCTCAGGAACAGAGACCGGGTCAAGATCATGAACCTCAAGATCAAGTGTCCCAGCTTTCAGTCATGAGGTGTGAAGGGAACATGGTCGCTGCGGGCTAGGCTTGGACTGGGAAATTTTGGAATTTCTCAAAATCATGGGTTCGTCATGACGGTCTTTAGAGCCAGGATTTGTCCTTCAAATGTCCTGTTTCGGGACCCAACTTAGGAGATGTTAGAGACAAGTAAGGTAGCAGGCCACTCGCACTATGCCATGTTCTGCGGCATATTGGGCGTGCAGAACAAGAGTCCCAAAAGTTCCAGCATCGGTCAGTACAAGAATCCTTCCTAGAAATCACACCGTGACTCTTGGCCTGGTTTAGGGCGGACTTCCTGCCTACGTTGGTGGTTTCATGGTAGAACGCAGTTCGGGACTGTCAACGACAGGCTTCTGAAATCAGGCGATGTCCTCAGCCTGGATTGAGGAACCCTGGATGCTACAAGAGCTTAGAGTTTAATTTACTATCCTAACAGAAGGGTACATGATAATTTTTCCGGTTGTCTCCTCCCAATAATCGCATCCTTTGCGTAAGACACCCGTACCAGAAGTACAGGCAAGCACTGAATAGACCCTTGCGGGGAAGCGCTATGAACTCTGAATTGTTCTACCGGCCTCTTTCCTGCACTGATGCAAGCATGTGTGTCCTGAAGCTCTACATCTGCCATACCCAGTTGCGAGGTGTCCGAATGGCTGCGCAGCCACATTTCCGCTGGTGGACGCCTGGGTGAATATAGGCGTTTCCTTTCGGTGCATATGCAATCCCCGAACACTAACCATAAGTTGAAAAACCCCCGAGACCCAGAATGTCACAAACTTCCAGACACACCTACATAGACGCACATGCATGTCATAAGTCATGAGTAGTCTAGACACCAGAATACCTATGATCCTGCTGCAGCGATGCTTTGAAATGAACGTAGCCATAAAGCTGTATGGTTCTACAGCAAGCCCTGCTGTGCTTCACAGTTGACTCCGCTCAGGACAAGCGAAGCCATGTTCGAATATGCCCGCGGCGGAAGGTGGGATCATGCGCATCTGTTGCTTACTGTCATCTATTGACAGATAGGATCGAAAACTTCGGAAAACCTCTGTGCATCTGTCATGTAGCTCACATACCATCTACTTTGTGAATGTTTTTTCCTTCCTGGCTATTTGTCTCAGGGATTCTGGCTCGGCAGGAGAAGAATAATGGTAGGCAGTACAGGCAGCATAGTAATCAACTCCAGCTCGAAGACCTGAAGCCTCAAAGTTGCGAGTCTACTCGGATGCCAGGAGACCCTTCCTCAACCCGAAACCTCCAAACCCCAGACTCTACACCCTAAACCGCATATGCCTGAACTAAAACAACCCAATGATTAATACCCTCGCTTATCCGCAGCCTCAACCCAACACCCCAAACCCAGAGTATTTAATCTTCTCTATCCCCATTGACACACGAGGCATCGCGAAAACATATCCTTACGATACACTCCTATACAATGTGCTGAGTCTCCTTCGTGATGAGTTCATTTTTGTGGCCAGTGGATGGACCTGTAGGGTCGGCCTGTGCGTTCCTCTTTGGCGTTCCCCATACAACCCGGGACTGTCACAAATCTCCCTCTGTACATACACGTTTTGCATTGCACATATCCATACACATTCGCATGTACACCCTTAATTTTAGCAACCCAAACCCAAAGCATTAAGCCCTATGCCTTACAGCTAGAACAGGGTAGTTGCCTACGCCCTAAACCCTTATCCCAATCCTAAACCTGAATTAGCATTTTCCCAAATCCTCACATAAAGCCCTAAAATCGGAGGTGCGCTGCCAGGATTGCGGGGGAGCCATTGGCCTTCATTTGATGCCGCAGCATCAGAGACCTGCTTAATACGGAAAAGGCTAGCGTATCTGGACTTTTGATGATGAGAAATAAGCTTCGAAGTTAAGGGGTCTTGGATGAATCCGAGGACTTGCTTAATTTGGGGGAGACCCCCCCCCCAGAATAAGGAATGAGGGGCGTCAGATTAAAGGAAGATCCTTCTTCGGTCATTGGGGCTCCTGGGCCTCTATTCAAAAGTGAATAGGCATGTATTGACTATTTTTTAGAATCCAAAAGACAATTATTCCTGGGTCCTTGGCTCTGGGACCTCCATTAATTAGACAGTGAATAGGAATGTATTGAATTTCTATTATCAGCATGGGTTTCCGAGAAAGTTTCTTTAAATCTAGTCCCTTTTCCCCATACGAAATGCCGCCTAATTGTAGCAAGTCTTTGGACGCTAATCCCGCCAAAAACAATTTCTTTAAATGTGGTCCCTTTTTTGAATTGTCCTCAGATTACGCGGTTGCAGGGTTCATGGTTTTATTCGGGTCATGCTGATTGATTTCGGGATTGGGCGTCATGCCATCACAACCTTACTTTTGACTGGAGGTAAAGTTTGTGGGTCAACGGAATTTCAAACGTTTTTCGTTTGGGATGTAAGTTGCAGGGAGAAGGTTAAAATCAGAAAAAGAGCCCGCAAGGTGCCCTAATCCCCAAACCCTGAGCCAAAGCCGCAAACAAAGATCACTGCTCCAATGCAGCAGCTGAGATGAGGCTTGAATTCGAAGCCGAGCTTCTTGAACCCTAAGTCCGCGCACAACTAGTTGCCTCATTCTACCGGCCTTCTGCCAGCATCCTACAGCCCATGCTCTCCAAACCCTACCTGGGGCCTAAACCTAGCTGAGGATTGAATGCGAAGCCAAGTCTCTGGTATGCAAGATCTGCGGTGAGAGGGCCGCCTGTCACGGTCAAGAAGGGATTTTGGTTAGAGGTTTAGGGGGTAAGGTAATTTGGTATTCAGGATTTGGAATTTCCGAGATATGGTTGACGATTTCGGCCACTGGTAAGGAAAGGTGGTGTTGGGACGTGCTGGGTTTTTAGAATTGAAGCTTGAGTTGGTTGCTCAGCATTTATGTAGAAGGGACCTGAGCGAGATGAATACAGAGGAATATCCGGAGAACTTGGATTAAGATAGGTGTTTCGTTGTGTGCTGGTATGATTGTCCACGATACAGAATGTAAAGGAATAATGCTTGAGATTCCTGAAATGCTTGCTTCTCAAAATACGGACCAGACTATTAAAGATCGCCTGGGAGGTCTACCTTGTCTTCATACTTCCTGAAAAGGGGGAGCCATCAATGTGTTGAGTTTCCCGCTTGTCTACATGAAATCAGAGCTGTTATTGTCGGGGTTGTGAGGGAAGAGAGTGGGGTACATGTTGCAGGCCTTCCGCTTAGGGCTGCTTGCGCCTTGGGTTCAGTGTTCCAGATTTGTGGTGCAACGCTTATGGCTTTCACACATGTAGCAACTTGGGACATGAGCGCGTTCAGATTGCGCTGCGAGGTAACCCATGCAGGTCGCAGACGCTAAGCGACTTCAACTCCCTGGGTTGTGTGTTTGGAATATAGGGCTTCGGACGTGCAACCGTCGCGAAACTCCTCTAGATCCACTGCTAGAACCAATCATTACCAGAAACAGGAAGCTCAAGGTCATAGCCCTCAACCCTCAACATGACACTCCTCCATCTTTAATTACGGCCCTTAACCTGACACCTCAAAGGTCTTAGCCAAGCAAATGCACACGCATCTGGAAGCCAATGCGGGCAAGCACATTTCCGCGCTGCTGGACGCATGGCTGCGCATGCATTGCTGGAGATGGCCTTCAGAGGGCTCTGATTGGGGAGATAAAATAGTTCCTGATACTGGGATATTTCCAGAGCCCACGTGAACTGCTCCTCGGCCCTCCGAAGGAAAGGTGGAGTCGAAGACCTGTGGAGTCAGGAGCTTGCATGTTCATTCAGGATCTCAATGCTGAAGACTTCCCAGTTTTGCAAGGAGGTCTCATATACGCCGTAATGCTAGTTCTAGACAGGACAGCTTGAGGGTCCCTACAAGGAATCCCTGCACAGAGACACCGATATCTCCTCTCCCTTTCCCTCAAGAGATCCACTTACATCGCGATTGCCCCCTTGTAGGATCTATCTGGTAGGACCAGGTGTTGAGGCTTAGGATTTTAGGCTTGGAGCCTGAGATTCCGGATTGAAGGTCTAGGGTCTGAGAGGTGCCCCAAGCCCCCAGACCTCAAACCATCAGTAGACTCTCCAAACCCACCACCATCACCTCGAAAGCCCAAGGCCAAAACTTAGACACAAAACAACAAACCTGCAGATCCCAACCCCTCCTGTCTGCAGACTGTGCAGCCCCAGAGGACAAGATCAGCGACATGGAGACTAGCAATCAGAAGCAGACACAGGCCAGCTTGTCGAGCTGCGTGTGTTCTGCTGAGCTCCCTGAGTCCCACAAACCCTGGAACCCTAACACCTTTACGTTTAACCCGTAAGCTCTAAAGCCCCTAATCTTGGTTGAGACCTCGGCCTTTGCAAGGCGTTGCAGGAGCGCATCGAGAAGCTGGAGGGGGAGATCCAGGAGCTGAAAGCAGGCAGAGATTGGTGTTATTTACTATTGTTACTACACGCGCGTTATTGTTTGAAAGCTCCTCGTCTTGCAACGCGGTGTGGGTGTGCAGTAGGGAGTTCAACATGTTGGGGGCAATAGGAGTTAGGTTTTCGGGGTTCGGTGTCTTAGGGGAGTTCATGTTTCGAAGGGTTTGGCGGTTTAGGGGTTTGGGGTTGAAGGTCTTGGAAATATAGGAGTTCCAGACTTTATGCAAGCAGTCTGCAGACGATCCGAACGAGACTGGCGCCTTCTAGGCTTTAAGGGTTTAGGTGCAAGGGGTCGTAGAGAGAGTAATTAGGGCCGGTAGCGAGTACTTCTGGGAAGCTGAAAGGGTGCATTTAAGCTTTCTATGAGTTGCAGTCCCATAGCATGATGTAACGCACGATGTAACAGGTGTCAGGCCTCAGGAGTCAGGATGCCGAGCTAGGGGAGTTAGGGCTTCCGAATCCAGCACTCCTGATGCTACATCTCAAGCCCCACATCCAGACATGTTGCCGAGATTACCCTGATCTCAAAATCCTAGCTAGCCGCAGTGCCTGTGCCACATCCGTCAAAGAGAGGTTCCATGTGTTGTTGTTGAGGTCCCTTCTCGTGACATCTTCTCCCAGGGCGGTGTTTCCTCAAGATACCTTGAGAAGAGCCCTCATGTGCGGATGATACAGCATTGCACAGGGATGATACCGGGTTCATAGGAATTCCCGGCTTGCAGTTCAAGCAAGCGCGGAACATCGTGGAACCTGAACGGTTGCGGTTTGTGTTACTGCTGTCCCGTTTGAAGGACCCTTTTTCAGGTTCCATGTTTTTGTGGGCCCCCAAGGCCTGAAACTTTAAACTATAACCCTCGACTCCCAGTCGCATTGTCCGAATTTCGCACAGGCGCTGCGGAGGAGGAGAACCCGCTGACGGTGCCAGAGGTCTTGGACTTCACTTGAGAGCAAATATGTTGGTCCCTTCCGACGAGCAGAAGAAACTTTCAAAAATGCGCCTCGTGGTGCTGGTCCTAACATCAAGCAGATTACAGTACAGAAAGTCCACAGGACTTGCTAGGAGAATCACAAAAGACTTTTGCAAGGAGTCTAGCCAAAGCTTGTAAACAAATATTCTTTCGTCGTATAAGCATCCCGACTAATAGCCCCCAAGCTCTAAATCCAAATCTATCCCCTAAAATCCTAGCGACCAGAAACCTAAAACCCACCCACAAGCTCCTAAACCCTCTAAACACCAAACTTCTAAACCCCTAAGTCCTCCATGATCAAAGAAGTCCACAACCACAAATCGGCGCGGTCCCACGAAGTGGCGATGCGCTTGTCCATAGAGAGGCTTCATCTTTGGACCCTAAAGGAGTAAGGTTTTAGGCCTTTAGGCTTGTTTATAGTAATGTATTGGGGGTTATTGGGTTCTGCTTTAGGACTGAGCTTGGGTACCGTGATACACTTTGCTTTTTGGGAGTTGTACTGTAGTAGTTCGAAAAATTGGTTTAAAATGTACCCTGACATCCTTACATACTTGTAGCGCGTAGATATGTCATGAATCCCTGTTCTAATTGATTAGGTGCACTGCATACTTGTTCTATATTGAAAGGTCTCCAGCTTCTTTGGCTTCTGCACCTCATGTACTTGGTTGCAACCAAAACCCCATTGGCCCAAACTTAGGGTCCAAAAGACAACCTCTTGATCTGTTCATTTCTATGTGAGCCGAAGACAAAATTCGCTTCTCGTCGGGTATAGTAGGGTCGGTCCCAAACCTCACACCCTAAACTCAAAGCCTCTGAACTTTACATTGCTATTTCCCCCCAAACAAAAAGCCTTCCCTTGCATACCCCAGTCCTTCTAGGGACCCCCTAGTTGTCGGGAAGCCCATTTGAGTGATATAAGCCTTAGACCAAGTCCAAACCCTCAACACTACTCCACCAGGTAAATTCCAGTGTATGTTTCTTGGTGAGGCTTCTAGTTGGAGTCACCAAGTATGTACTGTACTACATTGCCAGGCCTAGAGAATGCTTAAACGGTCCCTCAACCCTAAGCTAGCAAGCATTTTGTCTCGGCTCATGTCTCCCGCGGAGACCCTGAGACGTACAGGAAGTACCCGACGGAATTACGAACCAAGACGCAATGTTGAGGGCTTCTCAGGCTTAAGACGTAGTTTTGGAGCTACTTGTCAGGGCCTCAAAGTCGAGTGAGCATCCGAATCCGCAGTATCTCTTTAAACTGCGATCAAGACAAGGAATGGCTGGCCAAGTCGTTCCTGTTGGTAATTCAATACTCGCACCAGTGGGAACCCTCGAGGTACTGCTGGAATCGCTCTCGCACACATATGTTTCAAATTTAGCGCCCTTTTTGTGGGTCCCTATCACGAGCACATTTTGGGGTTGGGATATATTGGGCTTACTTGGAGTAGGATATGTGCATAATGTGCGTTGGCAGCGCCTGGCTCTACTTCTTAGGTACTCTTTGTTGTTCAGCGGTACAACCTCAGAATCCACCCATGAGCGTTTTTTGAGTACATCCAAGCCCGAAAGTTCTTCTGTGCGTCGTTACAGTCCCCAAACCCCAAGCCCTCATCCCGCTCAACCAAGCATAATTTCTTATGGCATGACCCTGAAACCTGCAATAGAACCTGACATCCCATACTCCATGATTGTACAGGGTCCTCAGAAACTCTTTGTAAGCTTCTCATCTGCCCTTCATCTTCTACAGTCGTTGCATTCATGACAAGACCAGAGAAGGAATGCCAAGACTTAGTCAACCCATCCTGGAAATGTACAAGCTCCGTAAGAAAACACCTTCGTGATTCCCATATCACCCCCGTATCTAGTTCATAGATCACCATTAAAAAAAAGAAAAAAAAAACGAACTCAAAACCCCCACATACGCCCACCACCCAAACTAGTCCCTTGTCTGTGAGAAGCCTGGGTCCTCAACGGCCGCCCGTGTTGGAGTATCGTAGCAGCCATGCCAGGCATTAAAAAGGCACAGGGTCCAGGGGTTTGGCGCCCAGGTACAGGGTTTTGTGTTCAATTGGAGGTTGGGTTTAAGCTCGAGGTTTTAGGGCTAACTACACTACAGTGCTCGGGTATGGGAGCACGGCGCCGCGAAGCTTTAAAAAAGAACTCCCAAACCCGATGCTATGGGGTTGAAACCAGAACATGAATCGACACAAGCCAGTACCTTTACCTGGCGTCTGGTTTTCGGTGCACCATAAAACACTTTACGCCGACAGCACAACGCCAAGCATGGACGCCAAGCATGGACGCCAAGCATGGAACTGAGCACACCCCAAATCGGCATGTCAAACCCACACAACCACAAACCTGGACGAGCCGAAGTCAAAACCTGGGTGCAAAGCATAGCATGGCAGGGTTTTAGGTTTTAGCGTCACAACTTTTTTCGCCTTCAATTGCCAAGCCCCTGACGGAAGAGGAACCAATGTCTTGACCATTGCCACATTGATTTTACCAGGATCGTGATTGCTTTGGTTTTATAAGCCCTCCGCTACCGGTTCTGTAGCTCAGTCATCCCTACTCCGCAGGCTGAAAAGATGATACTTCGGAGCCGTGCAAGCCCTAAACCCCCAACGACGTCCCCCGCAAATCCTCACTTTCTACCGGATGTATGCTCCAAATCGCTTTTCTGTACCCTCTTCTGCTGAACTCAAAAACTAGAAACTTGAGGCTGAAGTTTATACCCTAATCCTCGGCCAGCCTTGTTGTAATTCTTACCTTTTATCACGAGCACCTGAAGCCTTAACCTCTTCATTTTGAACCGAGTAAGTGAGACCTTAAATATACATATGCATGTATTTAGACACCACAAAACTCACACCCTAAGTCCTATCTAATCCCCAAGCCAAAGCCCTAAGCCTTGTAGAAACTCAGTAGTTTGCATTTAAGTTCCAGTTGCTTTTCTACTTGAGTTTCCATTACTACTTTTAACCCCTGCATAACCCCTATATAATAAGCCGTATATAAGCTCTGTACAAGCCCTATATCCCCCGTATGTAACCTTAAGTGAGGTCAAGGTCTTCCAGCAAGCCTTGGCACTGTCGCCCGGCAACTCGCAGATCAACGGGGATCTGATGGTGGAAGCCTTGGTAATAAGAGGGTATATTGGGACATGTCAGGATCATGGAAAGGAAGAAATGGGAAACTATAATATCATTGGGTCATATACTTTTTATATCTGGTTATATGACTGGATAGGGATATTACCTCAATAATGGATAACCAAGTGGAAAAGAGCATGGACAGTTCAGTGCAACTTGGGGTGTATGTGCAGGGTGTGGAATTAGGGTTGAGGGTTTAGCCTTCGGGGTTCAGGTTGTAGGCGTACGGGTTTAAGGATCATAGAGGGATCAAGCTTCAGGTTTCAGAGATTGGGGTTTGAGGTGTGGGGTTTGCAGGCTCTCAATCCCTGAGTATGTCGCTGCGACAGCGCCAAAACAACCTATACACTCCTTGTTGCCCCCTTTCAGATACCCATGGGTGTCTTATACCTATGGAGATCCCAGGCCTTGGTGCGCAAACTGCAAACCCCAAAACTTCTCTATCTAGCCCCTATACCATCCCAGCTTGCAGTTCATGCTCAGTTGATCCTCCATTGTTGTCATCATTAGGCCTCTTGAAATCCGCCCAATGCACCGATATCGTCATCTGCAGGTTGCTAGACGGAAGCTCCGCGATGACGCTCCGCGGAAGCCTCAGAATAACCCGCGGTTGTTGGTACTGACGTCCTGTATACAGCCAAATGAGGATCAAGTGTATAGGTCATCTTACATGTCATGGTTTTTACGAGGCTCGGAGAGCGGGCTGTGTGGTGCCATCTTGGGCGCGTGTGGTGGGTTGGGTTTGGAGGTCGTAGCTTTCTATTTGAGGTTGGGGAGTCGGAGTGGATTGGGACATAAAATAGAAGGCCGCCGAAGTTTCCCTGGGCTTAGCGGGACTCTTGTCTGACAGGCACGAATTCCAGAGCACAGTAAGGTATCCCAACATGTAGCAAGATTATGGAGTAGGGGTTCGAGGGGTCCCTAGAGTTCAATTGACACCCCTGAGCCCCTTATCTTGGCATGGTGTCTTTCAGCACGCAAAGGCTGCTAACTTTTGATCAGAGACCCCAAGAGAAGCCCAACATCTAGGCTCCAGGCCCTTGACTAGGTCCAGAACTAACATGGAAAGCCAATAAAGCAAAAGGTCCTTTGCAGACTATTGTCCTGAGAAAAGGGGATGTTTGTGGAGGGCATATATCCAGTAAGTCAAGTATATACAGAAGTTGAAGTTCACTTGGCTTGTTCTGCCAGAGGCCTTTGCCTCCTAGACCCTGGACCCCCTAAGCCCTCAACTCGAATCCCCAAACCCTCAAACCTGGAGCTTCGAGGCCTCCTGGCGAGTCGACTTGCCGTCAGCCCGTCCGATTTTTTGAAGGGTCTTGGGTTCAGGGTTTAAGGCTCAGGGTCTGAGTTGAGGTCTGCTTAGGGTCTCTAGGGCCGGGAGGGTTAAGGCGTGGCATTTTTGGCGCCTTTGATGTATACTATGAGGGTTCCTCAATTTTTCAACCAGTTTGCGATATTTGGCCCAAAGGATGAACCTTAAAGAGAGTCCATGCCTTCAGTGACACCCCAAAGCGGAACTTGGAAGCTGTCACAAATTGGAGCTGCTGCGCTGGATGAGAGGTGTGTCCTAGCCATTCCTACTTTGATGCGAAGGTCTTCTACTTTTCGTTCGCCAATAGGCTTGGTTCGAGGTTTGCTGTGTGTGCATCTTCGTTTTATCAACGCATTGACACCTGGAAGTGGGAGGGTGCCAGCTGTTCACTTTTGTCTTGTGCAGCTCAGCAGCTCATGAGCAGCTTGTGGGCTTTGAAGCTGGGGCACGTACCAAAAACATGGGAGTCGATGTGGGGAGAGCCGCGCTAGAAGCGGAAGCTTCTCGTTTCTTCGC